GAACCTGGGTGTTTCTTTTGCTCAGAATGAATTAAACTAAGATGCACTATGGGAGAACAGCTTACAAAAAAGGAAAACCTGTGCTTTACAAAAATGAAAACAGGGCCTATATACAGCTACAAAGAAAGATCAAATATTAAAAGAAAAAAAAAATTGCTACTGTAGCACCTAAACTATTCAAAGAAATTTGGGGCATTTTTTTACCTCTTTTGCATTCCACAGCAGGGTTTCAATATCCTAGTTGGACATTTATACAAAAATAATCTTTTCCTTTTAGCCTAATGATCAAAACTATGATTTAGACTGCAGATAAAAGATAGATGAAAAATAAAATATATGTGCTTATCCCTAAATCTGTTACCTGAGAAATAAGACAGCTCTCCTCTTGTTTTCAATCTCTATTAGGCACACTTGCTTTACTGTATTCATCATATCCATGATTTTTTTATGTTAAAGTTTCTATGTGTATCCTTCAGCCGTAGAAAATAAATAGGTATTGTTTCTAATTATTGGAAGAAAAATACTTGGTTTTGGCATTTTTGGCAAAGAAATATTTACATCTTTCCTATAAAGCATTGCTCTTATAAAGCATAAATTCAAAGACAATCTGCAAGGATTTGTGGCTATTATATTTTTCAGAAGGCAGAAAATAAAAAGAGGTCTGGGAGTACAAAGTTTAAAAAAAAAAAAATCAATAAAAAGACAACAAAATAGAAATCCCCACCTCATAATATGTGGTAAATATTTTAGAAAACACTGAGAAAAAAATGCAGAATCCTTTTTAAGTCCTGATGAGCAATCATCTGGACTTACTGATATGCAGAGGTACTGATACCGATACCTTTTGAGAGAAGGTTAAAAAATATCTGCCTAGTGAGCAACTGGTAATGTTGATATCAGACAATGTCTTTATTCTAAATACCAGTAATTTGAATATATAAACAGAAATGTTTTGCATGACCTCTGCTCCCTGCTCTTTTCCTTTGAAAGCTGAGGTTCTGAGTCACAGGTAGGAGACAGATGCTGAAAGATGACCATGATACATCTTTGTATGCACACATACTCTCTCTCACATACACACATTTATTGCAACCTGATGCTCATAGAAAAGCTTCTTCCCCCTTCTAAGTTTCTATAAGGAGCATTTCAGAAACCAAAGGGAGAAAAAAATTAAAAAGCAGTGAGGAGAGAAATAGCTGCATATTCAAGCAGCAAAAAGGCAGGTGTGGTATGAGAATTCCTAGTGTTCTTGTCTGCAGTACTGTTGCTGCCTTGCTGCTGGAGGATTTGATGGGCACTTTCATGGGTATATATATGCTTATGATAAGTGTACTTGGAAAGAGAAACCTTCCAGGTACTGTTTGGCCTATTTACTTGGGTAGATCTGCTTTTTTAAGATAAAAGTTATGCTGTATTTCAGCTTCTCTTTTCCGTGCATGTGCCTACACATTAAGTATTTTTTCCCACCAATTACATTAGTAATCACTAAAGTAAATGCAAATTCCTTTACCTATTTACTATATAAATTTCATCTTGGTGAATTTTACAAAATATTTACATGCTTTCAGTACTTAAACATGCTAAAATTGTTCTAATGCAACATTTCCTCAATACTGTGTCAGTACTTATTTTAGTCATGCCTTATAAGGATTGATAAATAGAATTGTAGTTCAAAATATAGTTAATTCAAAGTTCATTTCTAAAATCTTACCCTTTTAAAGTTAACTCTGTGCTATATCCTAATACATAATAAATATTCTGGATAAGCAAGTGTACTGACAGGAAATAAGCATACAATGAACAATACATTCTGAGGAAGATGCAGCATATAGAGCAAAACAACACATGCATTCCAAAAGTTTACAAAATCAGTTTGATGTAGCTCTTTTCTTAAGGTAATAAAAATATTTTAATAATTATTACCTGCGTCTCCTTTTGTCGTGACAGAAAAGAAAACCAAAAAAATTTCTTGCCATTCCTCATCGTTTATGCTCATTTTTTTGAGATGCATGGATTTACTATGTGCTTAGGTTAAACTATAGTGATCACCTTTTCCATACTGTCTTAAAATATTAACTGGGTAAAAAACAAACCAGGAAGTAGACTAGTATTATTTAATATTTAGGAGAAAGAGCAACTTTTACACATGAAACTAGAAAGCATTTATAGCCCATAATTTTCTTTTTAATGCACAAAGTTATACTTGCAAATCTCAGAATTTCTTTAAAATATGTTCTTACTACACAGAAAAGTGCACAGGAATAATTTACAGCCAACTTTGTTTAGCCATTTATGTCTAGAATATACTATTTAAAATATCTAATGGGGAAAAAATATTGTCTTCCCCCCAAAAGCATAATTATTAAAATATGATTATACTATTTATCAGTAGACATTGCTAGTTTCTTTGCTTGATTAGGTTTTGATTTATGCTCAGAAATTTAAATTCAGGCATACTTAGCCTCTGATTTTTAGACAGATGTCAGTCAGCATTAGTGTATCAATTTTTCATCAGAAAATAGAGATGCATGTTAAAACCACTTCAAAAAACATGGAGTTTCTACATGGCACCATTTTATCAATGCTAATTATATCCTTAAGATAAGTATTAACTGGGGAAAAAAGGGGAATCAAACTGTTTACAGAGCATGTGAATCTCAACTGGACATAAAGCTGCCTGCTTTGCTTCCTGCTTTCCTTCTTCAGTCTCACAGTTGCTTATTTAGTACATGGAAATATTACTATTACTTATAGTAGTAATATAATATTGTAATAGTATTATTAATATTGCTATTACAAGTATTACTAAAACTATTAAAGATGCTTTATTTAAAGATATTCTCCTGACATGATTAGCTTGGTATTCCTGTTTCAGCACAAATATCCAGGCAGCAGTGATTGCGTGCCAGGGTTAAAAACACATATGTAGCATGTTCTTTGTGTGTGTTTGCATGCTTGTGCAGGCAAACATTTCATCACCACTGAATGTGTGACTCTGTGGGTGTGTGTGTTCATAGCCTAGTGCTAAAAGATAGACTGGGGTCTGAGGGTGGAAATGAAGAGCATTTCCTTTTGGAACAGCCCTACTTGACCAAAGTCCTGCCCTCCAGTTTGAGAGAGAAGGATGGGAAGGGGCACTGAAGAAAAGTCTGACACTGCAGCCCACTGAAGTCACTTGTAGTTACCAAACATGTTTTAAAGGAAAGTTTTAGATATACAGAACTTAGAGTCCTGTGAGCTGTATTAAAGGAATCACAGCTACACAAATCTGGCTTACTCTTAAGACTACCTTTTGGGGGTTAAAGTTAAGTGGCAAACCAGATGCACCATTTCACTGCAATTCTAAACATAATTCTAAAATGATGCTCAGCTGGTGCAATATATTATTTTGTGTTCACAAGATGAAGTGGAATTTAAATTTTAAAAACCGGTAAAGATTTTGAAGAGTTTTGAGGGAGGCCTATTTAGCTTCCACCTAATTTAAAAATTAGTCTTGGCTGTCTTCTCACTCCTTCAGTCCTTGAATCAAAATTCCAAATCAGAATCTATTATTTTCGTACTCATGTTAAGCAGCATTAAGTAGATGGAAAGGATTTTATTTACATTATGGAACCAATCTTACAGTTTTCACACAGGAAAAGCATCCTTTAGAGGCAATAGCAATTTATATTTCTAAAAAAAAAAACAAAACAAAACTAATCAAACAGAAAAAACTCCAAACAAACCAGCTTTCATGTTTCAGCATTATTTAAAACCTCTACTTACATTATATTTCACAAGCATTCCAGAAACACACAAGAACAGAGCACAAATTGAAGCATCAGTGTTCCTTTCACCTACACCATTTTGATTTTAAATTTGCTGGAGCCCATTCAATTTATAAATAACCTTAAACCTTTGAACAGTTCACTAGTTTATTTGAACTGGAGACAGTGTTATTGAAACAAATCTAGTTAACAAGGTAATTAGCTTTTGCAATATTCCTCAGAAGGCTGGAAACCAACAGTTCATCACAGCACTGTACAAATAGCAGCATGCAATGTTAAGCCTCTGCTTATGGGGGTTTCTATCAAAACTCACTGGCCACATTACCAACAAAAGTGCTGTTTCCAAAAAAGTATCCAAGCGCCACCAAAACTGATTTATTCACTTGAAGTGGAAGGATAAAAATATTTTCCAATAGTAACCCATTATAAAAGTGTAGGCTACTGCTGGTGTTGAAAAGATGGGGCTAGAACCACAAAAAATCCTTTTTCTTGCTTCCACAAAAGGCTTTGGGCCTAATTATTTTTAAGTATAATCCAGCCAACATCTTCTCATGCTTAGCTGCACTGAGTGACACTATTTGTGATGCCCAGTCTGCTGAAACTGAGCAGGTTGCTGTCAGTTTAAAAATGACTATAATAAAAGTGACCATGAAGATGGATCTTGTGATTTTGCGTTTCTAATCAGTCATCTGTGAAGAACACTTTTGCTTTGATTCAGCAGACTGGTGACAGCCATGATTGATAGTGCATGAGGATGAAAAAAGGTTATTAACTGTCTTCCTATTAAACTCAATGTATTACCCCTCTAGGTGCATCTCATACTTTAACTTAAAGTACTTACTCAGGTAAGGTCAAAAATGAACTCTATAAACACAGTATCCATCCTGTTGTAGATGAACCAGGAGCTCTAATGCTAAATTTTGAATGTTCAGCATTAAAGCATATCTGAATTCTGACACCTTAATTACTGTGCCAAAACCAAACACTGAGCAGACCTGTGTATGCTTCTTATTTCTAACTATAGACAAGTATTTTTGTATGAAACAGGGACAGATGAGTTGATCCTGTGTGTTAGTGAATACAAAGACACAGACAAATGTGTTTTTCTTACTATAATAGTCTCAAAATAAAAGTTTTAATAATGTTTTGTTAATGAAAAAATACACAGAAGAGAGAGCTATGAAGTGTCTGGCATGTTCAAGTATGAATCTTACACAGAAAATAGCATTTTACCTGCTTGTAGTTAAGTCCATTGTTAACTCGATCAAGTGTATTTAATAATTTATGAAGGCTTCCTATTAAAAGAAAATACAAATATTTTAGTGTAAATATATAAGTATCTATTTGTTGCCTTACTACATGTTTTAGTTTTTATTTCCTTTTTACTGATGACAATACTCACAACTATCTGCTGAAAAACAAAGGAAAATGGCACATATATTCATTTTCAAAAATTTGGTAGAAATTCTGATTCCTAGGGTACTCCTAATTTCTAAGGATGTCTCTGTGAATAGATAATTTTGAAGAAGCTTAAGGAGAAAAGGAGTGAAATACTTTCCTTGTGTTCAGTTTTATTTCTCTAGAAATGAATTGAAAGGGGAAAGTTGCTCACATTTTGTATGCAGGTTAGCATCTTTTTTGATTCACAGGTTTCTTGTAGGAATTATGTGTTTTACAAACACTTCTTCATAATCAGTAACATTTCAAATTTTTTAATTTACTTTATCTTTATGAATAAATTTCAGGTGCTCTTTGAATTAGTTTATGGATATCTTACATTACAAACATTTTCTCATAAAAATAAGTAGACAAATAGATCAAAAATCCTATGACTCTATGACTACAACTACAGTGGGCACACTTTTATCTGAAGGAATGTACAGACACACTTGTTTAAAATAAGCTCTTTCCACATATTTGAGATCTCCCTGCAAAATACATCTATTCTGTATTTGTTTTCCAGAGTATAAAACCATACTTTTAAATTTAGTTTTATAAAAGTTCCTCATTTCCTCTTTTACATTATATCAAGAATATTTTTTGCACTCATTTACATCATTTCAAAAGGAAGCAAGAATATTATACCAAGCTAGATCCTTTTGAGGAAAAAAGGAAAAAGTATCTCTCTCTATCTTGACTGTTCTATAATGCACTGTCATGCAAAAATTCTGCAGCCGAAGTAAATATTTTAATCTTTTCTAGGTGGTGTTGAATTTAAGTTGTCCCTGTTATTTTTAAACAATTTTTTAAAAAACATTCACAGTTGGTAAAAAAGAATTCAGAAAAAAATATAATCTACCTAATATGATGATATTTCATTAAAAAAAATATTAAAAAATCCTCTGTAACATCTTTATTTCTGGAAAGTGTGTTTCTTTCAGGTGTGGACTTGGGAATAGGCACCAATTTTGCCTTCAGTAACATTTCTGCTTTATAATAAATTGAAATCCTGTTGTAGCCCCGTGTGGATTTACAACTGGCAGGCTTCCTCTCTGACAATTTGGGGTCACTGTGGATATAGGTGAGAAATAATTTCAGAGGTGATGGAGATATTGACAGAATTTAAGAGTCCAAGTTCCCAGGTAAATATTTGTAAAATGTACACTTCTACATTGGGTTTTAATTAATAAGACTTCTGGATTATATTGTTTGCCTTGTTTGTGCATTGTATTTTCTCTGAAACTATAAAAAATATTAATTTCCATTTGTGCCTCTGTCAGTACTATGAAACATTTAACGTAGAAGGTATCATTCCTCCCTCAAGCACATTTAAGCAAGGAAGAAAGTTACAGTTACTAGAGGCTTAGCTAAAAAACCATATAGCATGCTTTTAGAAAATCAGAATTATATGGCAACATTTGTTTTGGGCAGCCTTATGGGGGCCTGGAGAAGGTAAAACCATTTTATCAGACATCACACCAAACAGAGGCCCTGATGGTAGCGAGAGTTTCTAACAGTGGGACAGACCTACGTTTCCTCACTGGAGAAGGGACTGGCAGGATCAAGCCCCCTCTCTTCCCTTCATGTGTGTAACCTAAAGACAAGAAGTAAGTCTAAGCATAACTCCAGCCATGTGTAAAACAGTGAAAACGCTTCAGTCAGTATGGAAGAAATTAATGAATTAGATTTATTCCTCCGGCTTCTTTAAAAGAATTGTCACAAGAACTAAACAGAAGATCCCAATTAATGAAACAAAGGAAAGTTTAGGGCCATTTAACCTGGAACAATCGTTTCCTCTGGTTAAGGTTTACATAAAACCCAGAGCAGGCCTCAAATGTCAACTCTAGTGGTACCCTTTGAAATCCTGTTTTATTCCAGCACTCACTACACACACGAAAGCAAATCCTTAAACTGCAGGCTAAGTGCATGTGGCCCAACCAGGACCATACAAAGGCGACACACGTAGCATGTGTCACAGCCAGCAGCACATGAGTGACTTCGCCAGGGGGGATCCCTCATCTAGATCCCACTCCAGACAATCAAGACACAGCAAGGGAAAAAGAAAAAGATTAAAAAAAAAAGAAAAAAAGAAAGAAAAAAAAAGAAAAAAAAAAAAAAAAAAAAAAAAAAAAAAAAAAAAAAAAAAAAAAAAAAAAAAAAAAAGAAAGGGGGGAAGAAAAAGGAGGAAAGAAAGAAAATAACAAGAAGAGCCAGACTCCAAACTCCACCTCCTGCCCCAGCCAAACAAGGGCAGGTAGACCGGCTGGGAAAGCCGGGCACCTCCCGCGGAGGGGAT